CTGGATGACAGTGAATCAGTGAAAAACTGCAGATTGAGTTGTGCAGGAATCATGTTTGCGGTATATCATATGACCAGCTTCTTCTTGGCTGGTCAGCAATAACAACTCATCCATTTTACCCTTGTTACAGTACACGAAAATGAGTAGAAATGGTAAAAGTTGAAAGAGAACAATGACCAGCATGGTAATTAATAAAAGCAAGTAAATATAACTATTATTGTGTTAATACTGTGGAAGTGGGCCTGCATTTTCACACATTCAGTATGAATGAATGAATAGTTTATTTCGAGCCATGGCAAACAAGAAAAAAGGACAACAACAAACAAAACAACAACAGAATAGAAAAAGTTTTATTAACAACAATCAAGCTCAAAAAGGAGTGGGAAGAAGTTAAGACTTTTTAACTCCCACTCTCTATTTATCATTCTAAATTTACCTAACTTAAATGATGTGGTTGCTACAGTTTGTTCCGTGGTATGTTTACAGTGTAGGGTAATAATATTACAGTAAGCTATAAATTTAGTAGTGTGGAGCGGCTAGTCTCCGGATCAGAAACTCGCCGTTCCACCAATGGATCTGTCTTATTTATTTTGGGCACCAGTAGACGTTTGAGGGTCTACGACAGATCCAAACTAACTTTGCCTCGAGTCAGTCTTATAAATCTAAAGATAGTGAATGCGTATATCAGCCAGGGATATACCGAAATCTAACAACACGACTCTGATAGGATTGAGTTAAAGAAAAGGGGTTTATTGATTACAAAAATGAAGGTAAAAATATAACGAAGGGGATTTCTGGTCACATTAAAGCAGAAGTGGTGTACATTTCATTCAAATCACACATTTAACAAAGAACAGTCTTACTTTGTAGGAGCGTAGAGGATGGAGAAAGGATTTGGGTTGGGGAATCAGCCCACGTGGTTTCTTTGTCTGGGCAGGCGGGAGGTACAAAGCCAGCGAGTTTGGTCCAGCTGCTGATCCACGCGTATACAGCCCAGTCCGGAATGGGTTGCGCGCGTAGAGTCCAGAGCCAGGGAAAGAGGCTGGTGATGGAACAGTTCATAAGGTCCCGAGCCAGAGGAGAGTGTGTTTTGCGGAGTAGAAGGCCCGATGCGTGCAGGCGCGGCCGTAGTTGGAGACACGTGCCGCGGGACGCAGATGGACAGGGAGGTTGGGATAGTGATTTCAGGAGAAGACAAGAGGCAGTCTCTAGGTTTGCAGACTGGTTTTGTTGTGGTCAAAGTGGGCGCGTCCGTGACGTCATATTTGTGCGTCTTCCTTGGACAACCTCCTCACAACAGATGGGTTATAATGGGAACACACAGGATTAATACAGACAATCATAACACATGTACAAACACACACCACATTTCATTATTTGCCACTGGTACACACATGTAGGGCACGGTACAGACTTATCGGAATAACACTGAGTCCGGGCTGGTCTACAGAATGTCCGGGCCGGGTGTGATGGTGTTCAGTGTCCACTGGGGGGCGCCAGAACGCCGTGGGTGAGTCTCAGGTTGTGGAATGTCCCATGAGCGATTGCTGATGAATGATTCCTGATCTCTGTCCGGCAGAAGGGCACACAGATGTCCGCTCTGTTGTTTTATTGCCCCTCTGGGTCTTCTTGCGGCGTTCCTGGCGAATGTTAGCCTCCCATTGAACCCGTAGTTACTTTGAAGTCTCAGGAGCTAGGGAGGGCATGTTTACGGAAAGGGTCTGCTATTCACGCCCGATTGGCGCTTGCCCTTTTCCTCACCCTACATACCCCCCCCCCACGGCAGAGATGCACCTTCCGACAAGGTGCATGTCATGTCGGATATGCCGAGTGGGTGTCCTCAGTCGGTCGTCTCGCCTGTTCGGGTGTTAGTGCGTGATTTGTGGTGACATGTTACAACATTCTCGCCTTAATGTGACTCAGTAGTTTGCTATCGCCTAACTGGGGCCAGGCTCGCGGCGGTTGGGTCTCGGGCCTCTGGCTTGGTTTGTCGAGGCCGGGTTTTCTCTGAGGCGAGTCCTGTTTCTGCAGGCTAGTTCTAACCGGGATCAGGGGTTTCAGGGAGTGAGCTGCGGCCGTGGACTCTAGGGTTTGGGCCGGTGCGCCTGACTCCTGGGTCTCTTGGTCCGGAAGACTCAAAGTTCCAAGCCGAGAGACTAGCAGGAGTTCCTATTTTAGGGGACTAGGATACAAAAATATGAAACTTCAAAAATCAAAAAAGGGTGGCTGTCTTGGCAGCGGGTAGGAGCGTCATTAAGGCACTCGATGGCGAGGGGTTCCCATCTTGCTCGTTCTAGAGGGGAGTATAAGGGTTACAAGAATATATGACGTAGCAAGTGGGGCTTTAATTACGAGGGGGAATTTCCTGTATATAAACGGGAACGACAGGTATGATTGTCTAGGAGACTGATTAGGTATCGAGATAGATATGTTTGGATCTGAGTTGGTGACTCTTAGTGGGGTTTTAGGCCCTTGGTTCACCTTTTGTGATAGAAAGAGTGACCGTCTCGAGTGGGTGGCTTTGGAGGTCCTCGTACTCTGATTCGTTGACTTGGGGGCGCCGACCTAAATTGCCACGCTCGACGGCCCGGTTTGGTCGTCTACGGATCTGTCTCGTCATTGCCTCCGTGCACCTGTTAAAGCTATCGCGGAGTCGTCTAACCCGTCTATTTAGGACGAAGGCCATGGCTACGGCCAGGCCGTACCCGAGTCCTACCGCGATGGCCATGACTGTATCGGGAGCGGCCCAGGAGTAGGCTACTGGTTGGTGGTGGATGGTCGGTCGCTTGGCGATCTCTTGAAGGAGGTTGTCTACGACCGTAACGTCAACGGTTTGTGCCCCCTCGTAGGTGGCTTGGACGAGGGTGGAGGGTTGAAGTTCCAAGGCCCTTTCCTCAAAGAACTCTGGTATCTCGACCTCTGCCTCGTACTGGTTCGGATACAGGTGGTATAATGCCAGGTCGCCTACGTGCAGGATGGCGTCGGCTGGGACGTCGACCCAAAAGGTTTCGTCCGGGAGGCTTACTCGGGACGAGGTGTCGTGTTTGTCATAGGTCAGGGTCGCCGTTCTAAGGGGAGTGTTCACTAGCCAGCGTGCCCCTACAATCTCTGCTCTAGTTTCGGTTATTTGTTTCCGAGAGGTGACCGTCGCGGGGCATCGACTCCCTGGAGTCATGGGCCTCAGGCCGCAGATGCCATCGGTGCTGTCCCTGACGAAAGGTTTGCTGGGGCAGAGGTAATGGATGTCCTTGGTGAGGGTACACATCCTTAGGTTTGGCGTTAGGTATAAATTGGGGTTACTGTCGTGGTAGGCTACTATGTCTGGGGTCTGGACTCTGACGTGGGCATTGTCCCTCCAAGTCCCTAGGTTAGTGATCCCTTTTAGTCGGTAGATTTTATCACCGGGAACTATCGGTAGGGTGACTAGAAAGGCTACCTCGCGGTCCAGAGGATTAACATAGATGGGGACTGCAGCGCCCAGCGTGTACGCTAAGTGGGCTTGCATGGGGGTTACGGCGTCCCGTGTGGCTACGGCTAGAATGTTCTCAACTAACGATAGCGGCACGAGGTATGGCGGGATACGGCCCATGGCTAGGTTTTCGATCGAGGAACTGAGGTGGCGTAGCATGTCCTCCATCAGTTGGGTGGTCAGCTGAGTATGGGCGTAGTCTAGTTGGAGAACGTCTAAGAGTTGGTTGACCGCAGCGGAGGTGCGTTTAATCGCAACCTCGTGCGTGTTAAGTACTAGCATGGTTCCTTTCAGGGACTTTCCTAAGGTCACCACGTCGTTCTGTTGTTGGTCAAGTCTGGTTTTGACATCCTCGAGTTCAGAGGCCATTTCTTGTTGGTGGCGTCTGAGGGAGGATAGGCTAATGACGTTTACCGTGGACATCCCTAGGCTAAAGAGGGTGCCCAGGGCGGACGCCGCGCCGAGGAGAGCCCCAATAAATCGTTTGGGTCTGGGGCAAGGGTCACTGAGCTCTGTCCTAGTGATCGTGAACTTCTCTAGTTGCGTCAGCATGTGTTGTATGTCTGCCTCAGCGTGCTCCACGACCGTCTGGGTCCAGCGTGCACCTGCCCAATCTTTGAGTGTGACCTTCAAGGGCAGGTTCTTGCGGCAGACTTCACTAGGATTGAGTCTGACAAAGATTCGCTGTGTGTGGAGTCGGACGTCCGTGATGAGGAGCCCGGGTTGTTCCTTTAAAACGATCCCGGAGGCTGGTCCGATCTCGATAATTTCTGGGGTGCCGAGGCACAGTATGCAGGTCAGCATGAGAAGGAAAGTGGGCCACATGTTCTGCAAGGCGTGAAACAATTGTTAGGGGTTAGACAGAGAGGGAGGAAGAGAGACTCGATTAGTGCAGCCGAGAAGAGTGTTAGTGGGTGCTGGACTAATCGTGTTTGAGGTCTAGCAGGTGTGTTCCTAACTGGGGTTTGTAGTGTGCCCTGCTTGTCCCATGGGGCTTTGTTTGTGTGGTTTGGTTTGGCTGTAACGGGCCCATCTGAGGGTGGGCTCTCTACCTTTTGTGACCTCGATCTGGTGCACTGCGGTTGAGAGTTTGTTTCCCACCCTGTATGGTCCTGACCAGCGGGGTAGCGATTTCCGACGTAGTCTGGTGGGGCCGGTTCCCACGTGTCCTGGGGAATGTGCCAAGGTGTAATACCATACCTGGTTTTTGACCTGGAGGTGGTCCTGCGGGTCGGTCTTGTATTGGTTTGTCCTCAGGAGCCGGGGGAGTTTCACGTTCTCGTCGTTCCGGTTTGGGGATACGTACCTTAGTATTTCGGTCACCGTCCGGTCCGTCCTTTCTACCTGTTGTAGTGCCTGACGTGTGTTGTTTATACCTGTTTGTTCCGCGGTAGGTGCGTCATGGGCGTGTGCCAACATTACCCCCCTCATGCTTCGAGGCACCACGAGCACCGACGAAGTGAGTGTATCGGAAGCAGAACCTAACAGCCCATGTCGTATCGGCAGTATGTCTTTATCACGGCCGGAGATTCTAAGCGTCGTGGCGACCATGGCGTTGAAGGGGCGTTCCAGTGTGGGGTCCGCATGTCGGAGGGAGGTTAAGTCCGACGGTCTTAACCTCCCTCCGGTCGGGGGCCGTGCGCGTGGCGTTCGCGCCGGTTGTGGGCGTCCCCTGACCGGTTTCGGTTTGTGCCGCGGCGGGCTGTGGGCCGTTCGTGGGCGGCGCGTCTACGGAGTAGCGGTGGTTTTCGCCCAACGGGCGCGGAATGGGCAAGGGCTCCCGGACCTGTGTCCAGATCTTTAGACGTTGGTAGTCTATTAGGGGCTTAAACCGATTTAGAAGGTCCTGGCCCAATAGGAGCGGATGCGTGTTGAATGGGGAGATGTAGACCGGGTGGACCAGTGTCATGGGGCCCACGGTCAGTCGCATTAGAGCCATTTTACGTATGGTCGTATCTACCTGGGAATAGGGTTGTATTTCTAAGTCGCATGCCTGCGTTTTTAGGTGTCTGTGGGATTTACTGGCCATAGACTGTAACTTACCGAAGAGGTCTTCGCCAATCAGGCTGATATCGGCAGCTGTGTCCACGAGCGCCTCGTGTTCCCATTGGTCTTCGAGTGTTACGGGCAGGTAGAGTTTCCCGTAGGTACCTCTTTGTTGTAGATCGCCCATGAATTGGCGGAACGGTGGTTCGCAGTTGGTTGTCGAGGGGCCGTCCTCTCGTGGGTCTGTGATGGAGTTTACCTGTATTACCATGACATCCCTCTGGTCGTAGCAGGTGTCCACCGTTGGTGCGTTTGAGTAGTCGTCATTTAGCTCCTGTTCGCTGAGGTCGTCGTCCATGTGGTAGGGAGCGTTCTCGGCGTCATCCGACACGGACACTGCGAACACGTCGGCGTTGTCTGTCTTCTTCTCTCTGGCTTTGCGCAGGAGCGTGCGGAGGAGGGATTGTTCCTCCCTAGAAAGGTTGTCCTTATTAATGGTTGTGGCAGTGCGGTCTTGGTGGGACCGTTGTGGCGCGCGGTCTTTCCCGTCGGCCTGGCCGGCGCGTCTCTCGCCGTATTGCGGGAGGTGCTGGTCGCGTGGCTGTCCGTTCTTCGGGTCCGCGTGTTTGTGGTTATTCCTTTGGGGTCCGTGGTCGGTTCCCCATTTGTGTTTCCGGGCCGTTGGTGCGCCTTCAAGTTCCATGTGGTTTTCCACACTGTACACTGTAGGTTGGGTGTGCGGCTTCGCCTGGGGACGCTTCACAGTGTGCGACCCGCGTAGCTACCTCGAGCAGAGAGTGTTTGAAATTTTTTATTAGAGTGATTGGTGTGTCACCTTCTCAGTTTCACAGCAATGTGGTTACTCAATCTGGATTACCTGCTCATCCTATGTGGATTGTTTTTCGTGCTTTGTACAAGCTACAGTACGATAGAGCAGAGTGTGCGCGGGGCTGGAGCCCTTCCACGACTCACCTTTACGCGGGAGTCCCTCCTACAGCTCCGGTTCTCTGAGCGGGCCGCGGATCCACCGCCAGACATCCCACCGCGGCTCGACACGTACGCCGCAAAAGGGGAAGACGAGGAGGTGTCCACCGGAGATTGAAGCGCTTGTGCCTCCAGGACCGCCGACGGATGCCCGCGCTCCCATCCATCCTGCTTGGGAACGCGCAATCTCTCCGTAACAAGCTGGACGAGCTGGAAGCTTGGGCCACGGTGAGACAGGAGATCACCAATGCCTGTCTTCTCGTCTTTACGGAGTCTTGGCTTACGGACACCGATCGAGATGAGGATCTCTCGGTGAGGGGCTTTGGAGCTCCATACAGACTTGACCGGGACCAGGAAATCACCGGGAAGTCGCGGGGAGGAGGAGTGTGCCTCTACGTGAACGAAAGGTACTGTAAAACCGTCGTTGTGCGGGAGAAGATCTGCACTCCTCATGTTGAACTGTTGTCGCTGTCTCTTCGGCCCTTTTATTTGCCGCGTGAGTTCCAACAGCTGTTTTTTACAGTTGTATATGTGCACCCCCACGCTGACGCCACCGCTGCAGCTCAGCTGATTGGTGACGTAACTCACAGACTTGAGACAATTTGCCCCGACGCCCCCAAATTTATCCTTGGAGATTTTAATCACTGTCGCCTTGGTGATTCATTAAAAACTTATGAACAGTACGTGACTTGCAGCACTACCCAGAGGAATACAACTCTAGACTTGTGCTACGGTACTGTGAGCGGTGCATACAAGTCACTGCCTCATCCTCCTCTCGGTTCTTCCTATCATAACTGTGTGTATCTGATGCCACAGTACGTCCCTGCGTTCAGGCGGCTGCCACGAGAGGAAAAACTTGTAAAATGCTGGTCAGAGGACAGCATTTCTACTCTACAGGCTTCGTTTGAATGTACAGACTGGGACTGCTTTTATAATGCTTGTGGGGATGATATCAATGTATTGTGTGATACAATCTCTGCATATGTAACTTTCTGTGTTGATTCAGTTGTCCCTTCAAAGAAGGTAGTTATTTATCCGAATAACAAACCTTGGGTGACTAAAGATCTGAAATCAACTATAAATAGAAAGAAAATGGCCTATTGTATTGGTGACCAGATGGAGAAAAAATATGCTTCACAGGAAGTAAAAACAGAAATAAGGAAAGCCCGGTTAAGCTACAGAGACAAAGTGGAAGCTCAGTACAGTAGTGGGGACATAAGAGCAGCCTGGAGAGGGATTAAGAACATGGCCTCCATTGGTCATCAGAAGGAAGACAGAAAACCTGTCATTGTTAAGAGTGTGTCTGATACCGACTTGCCCAGTGCTTTTAATTCATTTTTTACTCGTTTTGAAAGAAATGATGTTTCAGATGATATTAATAATTGCAGGAGCTCAATTAAGCCTTTGAATGAAATTGAGGTTTCACAAAACACGGTCGAGGCTCTTTTTAAAAAAACAAAGATCAGGAAAGCCAAAGGCCCAGATGCAATTTGTGGTCGCACTTTGCACCATTGTGCCTCTCAGCTCAGCGGTGTGTTTTGTTTTTTATTCCAAAAATGTATTGACCTTTGTCAGATTCCATCGCTGTGGAAAACGTCAACAGTGATACCTCTTCCCAAATCCAAGAACTCAAAGGATTTGAGTGATTTCAGACCAGTTGCTTTAACCTCACTGGTTATGAAAAGCCTTGAGCACATTTTAAAGACTCACATTCTCTCCTTAACAGAAGGACAACTGGATCCACTGCAATTTGCGTATCAACCCAAGAAAGGAGTTGATGATGCAAAATTGTTCCTATTGAATGCCATTTTTAAACACCTGGAGAATGCAGGGGCCCATGGTAGACTTTTATTCGCAGACTTTTCATCGGCTTTTAACAAAATGCAGCCTCATATTCTGATACAGAGATTAGCTGCTGATTTTAATCTCCCAGATCAACTTCTTTTACTGATATTAAACTTTCTTACTGATCGTGTTCAGCAAGTTTTAGTGAATGGGAAAATGTCTGCTCCTACAATCTCCAACACTGGTTCGCCCCAAGGATGTGTACTTTCGCCTCTTCTTTTCATCCTCTACACGAACAGCTGTCGATCATCAGAGGAGAACAGACTGCTGCTTAAATTTTCAGATGACACTGTGCTGGTGTCACTGCTTACCGGCTCAGAGACGGGCCATGGTCCTGCACTAGCTCAGTTTGTCTCCTGGTGTGATAACCATTACTTGGATTTAAATGTTGCAAAGACCAAGGACATGCTCATTGACTTCAGACGCGTCACATCCAGCAACACCAGCGTCATCCACGGCGGGAATGTGGAAATCGTGGACAGTTACAGGTATCTGGGAACAACAATAGACAATAAACTGAAGTTTGACATAAACACTGAGTCGATCATTAAACAATCGCAGCAGAGAATGTACCTGTTGAGGAAATTGAACTCTTTTAATGTAAACAGGACAATCCTTAATAATTTGTATTGCTCTTTTATTGAAAGCCTTCTTAGCTTTTCTTTTATCTGTTGGTTCCAAAGCCTGACGCTGAAGGACAGAAACAGGTTACAGAGTATTGTGAGAACTTGCTCCAAAATCACGGGTGGTAAACTCAGAGACCTTCAATCTCTGTGGGAGGAACAGGTGCTGAGTAAAGCAAAATGTATTCTGGCTCAGCCCAAACATCCGCTGATTGCCGACTTTGTATTGATGCCTTCAGGGCGTCGTTTTTATGCTCCAGCACGGAAAACAAACCGTTTCTCCAATTCTTTTGTGCCATCTGCCATAAAACTGTTGAACTCTGGTAGAAGTGCTTGACTTTTGGGAATTGTGTCGTTCATTGTTTGTTTTTGTTTTTTTATTTTTTTTTATTTTAACTTATATTGTGTAACCTGCTGCTGTGTGAACTGTGAGACTCACTGTGTGTTTGTGTAGAGTTTGTTGTGTTCTGCTTTGAGTTAGGCTGCAAATGAATTGCCCTTTGGGATCAATAAAGTTTTCTGAATCTGAATCTGAATCTGTGTCTTGAGCAGATGTTTGCATTGTGCTCGTGCCACCAGGGTCTTCAGTTGCCGTATGTCCTGTGTAAGGGGGCAGGCGTACACGCCCAGTAGCTGGCTAAGGTTGGGGTGGAGGTTTTGGAGGTACAGGGCCCTGAAATTCGTGTCTTCCTCCATCCCTTCGTAGTTTCGGTTGCCGAAGAAGGCCTGTCGCAACCTGTGGTAGTAGCATTCCGCAAGCTCGTTGTGAGCTTGTTTGACTGCCATGGCTGCCGTGAGGGTCCCGGAGGCGCCGTAGTCTGAGTATTCTGCTAGGATGGCTTTGCAGAGCTCGTTGTAGTTGTGTTTTATAGCCTTTGGTTGCCTTTCGATGAAGTCATTCACCTCTCCATTGGACGTGAGTCTAATCAAGAATATTTTGTCATCTTGGGATGCGTGTGGTATGCGGTCGGCGTGGAATTCGACGACGCGGAGGTATGACCGGGTGTTTGTAGGTATGCCGGGCCGGGGGTCAAAGCGGGTTATGTGTCTAGCTATGCGGTCGAAGTCGCGGTCGGATGGTCCGAGCGGGTCTCGACCTATCGGGGGCGCGTAACGGGCGTCGCGTCCTCTATAGTCCGGGTAGTGCCGTTGCCCTGGGGTCAAGTCCTGGCGTGCGTCCGGGGGGGTGCTGTGGGGTTGTCCTCCATGATTGGGGAGGTTCCCGGCGTTCCCATGGCGGGTCACTGGCCGTTGTGCCGCAGCATATGCGGGCGGCCCAGGCTCAGGGTACCGTATGTCGTGTGGTCCATGTAGCATCTACTGATGTGGGCCAGGGGGGTCGTTGTAGGGTTGTCCGCCATGTTCAGGGCGGGCCCTTTCGTCCCAATGGCGGTAGTCTGAAACATGTCTCGTATGGACGTCAGGTGGGTCAGAGTCATGGGTCGGGTAGTCATGTTGGCTGCGTCGCATGTCCATGTGTGTTCCCGGAGGGGCGACGTGGGAGTCCCGTCCCTGGTTGAGGTGGTCTCCCCCGTCCCAATGGCGGGCTGTTGGCCGTTGTTCGCCGCGGTCCATGGTCAGTCCGTGTGTATGGGTCTGGTGGCCATGCGTTTCGGGTTTAACGTGCCGGTGCGTTGCGGCGGGTCCGGCCGGGGGTTGTCTCTCATAGGCGGAGAGGTCCCCGGGGGCCCGTGAGCGGTCTGTCACGTGGTACGTCGCCTGGCTCGTCGGTGGGTCGAGTCTGGGGTCAAAGTGGTCGATGTGTCTAATGTAGTGTTGAGGGTTGGCTGTAGTTGCGGGCGGTCCCGTTGTATGGTGGGGGTCGCGCGCAACGTGGTCGGGTCCGTGGTCGACGGACCGCTGGGGCCTGTTCCGATTGTTGCTGTTGGGTTGTGTATCGTGCCTTTGACCTTGATTCTGGTCCTTTCCCGTGATGATACTTACCAGTTCGGCCACGCTCCTGCGTTCACTCTCGGACAATGGCCCGCCACGGTCGGAGTGAGGGGAGTGTGGGCCGGAGGCACTGTCTCGGCCGGCTTCGTTCGAAATAGCGGCCCTGATTCTCGCTGCGCGATCTAGATCCATGGTCGCGCTTGGGATCGTGTTCAGTCCCGGTTGGTGGTTCCCACTTACCTGTTGGATTGGTTCCAAGCGGCTCGCGGCGGACCTCTTAGCTTCCGCTAGTTGCCGTTCCAGTTCACCTACCGTGTCTTGAAGCCTTTGGTTCTGGGCTTCGGAGTCGCGTAAGGTTATTCTGGAGACCGTGGCTAGCTGTCCCAGCCACTGGGTCAGGGTCTTACCTTCTAGTTTCTTCGTAATAGCCTCGGATGCCAATGTGGAGGTGGCATCTAGTAAGTCAGAGGGTGAGCCGTGCTCAAGCATGTCGTAGGTTCCTGGGGATAACTTCTCTGTGAAGTCGCGCAGAAAGTTATCCACTACGTCGTGTTCCTCCACGACACTGTTGTGCTCGCTTGGTCGTGGCGAGTTTCCGCCATCGGTTTCCATATTTGTGTGGGTGAGTGTATGCGAGTATGATTTGGAACGTGTGTGCATGACACAGTGGGGGAATGAAAGGAGGAAAGCAGTGCTATAGAGCGGGTAGTACAGCTGTTGTTTGTGCAGTGGTGCAAACCTTGGTGTGAGTCAAAGCCGTGACTACAGCGTCCTCTCCGTGTGGCGGTGTATGCGAGTAGGCGGCCTAGGACAGGGGTCGGGCGTTAGTACTTCTTCACCTGTGTGTCAGTGAAGAGCGTTGGGGTTAGTGGCGTAAGAGACGCAGCGTCTCGACGCACTTGCGTTTGGGACGCACTTGCACGCACTTGCGTTTTGGACGCACTTGCGTTTTGGGACGCACTTGCGTTTTGGGACGCACTTGCGTTTTGGGACGCACCTGCGTTTGGTTTAGTACCGCGGCGTAGCTTTAGACGCAGCTCAAGTAAGCAGTAGCAAAAAGGCAGCAGGCTGAGCCAAGGCAATGCAGTTTTAGTGACAGTGAGGGTTAGAAATAGAGTATTAGTTTTGATGTAGTACAATCAAACAGAGTTTGGCAGAGTAGGTTGGTTATTAATTGGAGCAACAAAACAGCATGGAACAAACAGCCAGACAGTGTTAATGTTATCACCATGGGCAGCAGTGCGGTCTAGCCGTGGCATGCAGAAGGAGGGGCAGAATTAAAATTGTTAGTTGTAGTGTAGTACAAGGAGTTACCACAGTAATGTGTTATTCATAACGTGCAGTCACAGGGGCAGAATCAAATTATTAGTTTCACCAGCGCAGCAATGTGGTACACCAATTACATGCAGCAGTGTGGCAGAATTAAAATTGTCAGTTTTGGTGTAGTACAAGGAGTTACCACAGTAATGTGTTATTCATAACGTGCAGTAATAGAGGCAGAATCAAATTATTAGTTTCACCAGCGCAGCAATGTGGTACACCAGTTACATGCAGCAGTGTGGCAGAATTAAAATTATTAGTGTTAGTGTAGTACAAGGAGGTACCACAGTAATGTGTTATTCATAACGTGCAGTAATAGAGGCAGAATCAAATTATTAGTTTCACCAGCGCAGCAATGTGGTACACCAGTTACATGCAGCAGTGTGGCAGAATTAAAATTATTAGTGTTAGTGTAGTACAAGGAGGTGGGAGTGCAGTATCTGTCAGATCACACACCGATGTGGTTGAACCATAACGCGCATCATGCAGGATAGTACAGAATAGGATTAGTTACCACAGTGATGTGTTACTCATAACGTGCAGTAACAGAGGCAGAATCAAATTATTAGCTTCACCAACGTAGCAATGTGGTACGCCAATTACATGCAGCAGGAGGGGCGGAATTAGCGTATTAGTTTAGTACAATCAAACATCAAGTTTGACAAAGTAATGTGTTATTAGTTGGAACAGAAACAGCACGGGACAACAGCCAAAAACGGTGTTAATGTTACAACCACGGCCAACACTTGATCATAAGACGTGGTGGAGGATAAAATGTCAAGACAGCAGCAAAGTGGTCCCGGAAGTAGTGCCGGGACCGGAAAGCAATCCTGTGTTAGACAATAAAAGAGGTGCGGCTCGTTTAGCAGTATGCCGAGACGGCTAGCGCCTTATGATCGTCAAAACACAGACTCAGAGTGAGATAGGACAGTACGAAAGTATAGTAGGTGGTTATTGTTAGACAACGGGTAGGCAATGCAGCAGAATGGTATTAGCAGTGGGGATGCGGCTCTGGCTTTTAGCACGCCAGGGCCGGAAGTTAGCCGTATGCTGAAAACAAAGGAGCGTAGCTAGCCTTTAGCTTGCCGGCAACGGGACGTTTTAGTAGCAGTTTAGGCAATAAACAATGAGTTTTGGTAACCGAATGCAATTTGGTTAAACAGAGCGGCAGTAATTTTAACAGTGAGAGAGCAGCTATTAGTGGGAGCAGTATTAAGAGCAACGGGCGTTGTCCGAATGTAGCTTCGAGGTCTAGCAGGCCCGAGCGGAAGTTAGCCTTATGCTAGAACGAAGGAGTGTAGCTAGCCGTTAGCTTCCGAACGGGACGTTTTAGCAGTAGTTTATACAACAAAAGTCTGGAGCGAGTTATACGGTTCGCACAAGCACGTGTCGTAGTGGTGGAATGGGGTTTGTCTGTATGTACTGTAGAGTGCTGGTGTGTGTACAACAGCAGGTTAGCGGTAGAGAGAGTGGTGAGACAGGGTTAGTGTAGCCTAGCAGAACAATAGCATCACATTCAAGCCGCTGCCGTTCACAGCCTTTCACACATATATGCTCGGTTACAATCCTGTGTGACGTGGGTCACAAAGGGACACAGTAGGTTCGTGCGCCCGTGTTCTGGACACGGCGCACGGTGGGTTACAAGGATAAGTTTTTGCGCTTTCTCTTAAGAGTTTAAGCGGCTTCACACTCCACGCTGCCCGCTGGCCAAGCGGGGCGACACGTTGTAGGAGATGCGTAGTACCCGTACGAAAGTCGGGATTTGAGACTAAATTAATAGTCTGGTGCATGCACGGAACACTATACGCTAGCGTGGGCGTAGGGGAGCTCGATTGTCGTTGAAGTCACTATAGCAACGGAGGTAGCAGGGATGTGGGGGTGAGGAGGTGGGGGGAAAAGCGCTTTGAGCGTGAGCAGAGCTTCATGTAGCGTATTGCAGATCAAATCACAGAGTACGAGTTGATAAATCTGGTCTATGTGCGCGGATCTCACAAACAGGGCACCATATATGTAGGGTAATAATATTACAGTAAGCTATAAATTTAGTAGTGTGGAGCGGCTAGTCTCCGGATCAGAAACTCGCCGTTCCACCAATGGATCTGTCTTATTTATTTTGGGCACCAGTAGACGTTTGAGGGTCTACGACAGATCCAAACTAACTTTGCCTCGAGTCAGTTTTATAAATCTAAAGATAGTGAATGCGTATATCAGCCAGGGATATACCGAAATCTAACAACACGACTCTGATAGGATTGAGTTAAAGAAAAGGGGTTTATTGATTACAAAAATGAAGGTAAAAATATAACGAAGGGGATTTCTGGTCACATTAAAGCAGAAGTGGTGTACATTTCATTCAAATCACACATTTAACAAAGAACAGTCTTACTTTGTAGGAGCGTAGAGGATGGAGAAAGGATTTGGGTTGGGGAATCAGCCCACGTGGTTTCTTTGTCTGGGCAGGCGGGAGGTACAAAGCCAGCGAGTTTGGTCCAGCTGCTGATCCACGCGTATACAGCCCAGTCCGGAATGGGTTGCGCGCGTAGAGTCCAGAGCCAGGGAAAGAGGCTGGTGATGGAACAGTTCATAAGGTCCCGAGCCAGGGGAGAGTGTGTTTTGCGGAGTAGAAGGCCCGATGCGTGCAGGCGCGGCCGTAGTTGGAGACACGTGCCGCGGGACGCAGATGGACAGGGAGGTTGGGATAGTGATTTCAGGAGAAGACAAGAGGCAGTCTCTAGGTTTGCAGACTGGTTTTGTTGTGGTCAAAGTGGGCGCGTCCGTGACGTCATATTTGTGCGTCTTCCTTGGACAACCTCCTCACAACAGATGGGTTATAATGGGAACACACAGGATTAATACAGACGATCATAACACATGTACAAACACACACCACATTTCATTATTTGCCACTGGTACACACATGTAGGGCACGGTACAGACTTATCGGAATAACACTGAGTCCGGGCTGGTCTACAGAATGTCCGGGCCGGGTGTGATGGTGTTCAGTGTCCACTGGGGGGCGCCAGAACGCCGTGGGTGAGTCTCAGGTTGTGGAATGTCCCATGAGCGATTGCTGATGAATGATTCCTGATCTCTGTCCGGCAGAAGGGCACACAGATGTCCGCTCTGTTGTTTTATTGCCCCTCTGGGTCTTCTTGCGGCGTTCCTGGCGAATGTTAGCCTCCCATTGAACCCGTAGTTACTTTGAAGTCTCAGGAGCTAGGGAGGGCATGTTTACGGAAAGGGTCTGCTATTCACGCCCGATTGGCGCTTGCCCTTTTCCTCACCCTACAACAGTTATGCAACAGTGACATTCACAATCATATGCACTTGATTTGTACAGTGTATGTCTAATATGTTTATATTAATATTATTTCCTTAAATCTTTTTACGTCTTTCAGTATCACAGCCTTTACTAATCCTAATGTTATCATTATTATCATTTATCCATATATTA